ACCCCCACCCCCACCCCTCCCCCCCATAGCTCACGTGGGGCAGGATGTGCAGGACCCCGTCCCCGCTCAGCGCCCCCGCCGCCCCCCCCAGCAGCAGCGGCCGCAGCCAGCGCCAGGCCCCGGCCGCCAGGGGGCAGCGCAGCAGCAACAGCGCCCCCAGCGGCAGCAGCGACAACAGCAGCGCGGCCGCGGAGCCCGCGGCGAACCCTGCGGACCCATAGGGACACATGGGGATACATAGGGACACATAGGGACACATAGGGACACATAGGGATACATAGGGGTACATAGGGACACATAGGGACACATAGGGACACATAGGGATACATAGGGATACATAGGGACACATAGGGATACATAGGGACTCATAGGGACTCATAGGGACACATAGGGACACATAGGGACACATAGGGACCCATAGGGACCCATAGGGATACATAGGGACTCATAGGGACACATAGGGAACCATAGGGACACATAGGGACACATAGGGACACATAGGGATACATAGGGACACATAGGGACACATAGGGACACATAGGGACACATAGGGACACACAGGGATACATAGGGAACCAGAAGGACACATAGGGACACATAGGGACACATAGGGACACATAGGGAACCATAGGGATACATAGGGACACATAGGGACACATAGGGATACATAGGGATACATAGGGACACATAGGGACACATAGGGAACCATAGGGACACATAGGGACACATAGGGACACATAGGGATACATAGGGACACATAGGGATACATAGGGACACATAGGGGTACATAGGGACACATAGGGACACATAGGGACACATTGGGACACATAGGGACACATGGGGACACATAGAGAGACAGAGGGACCCATAGGGACACAGAGAGATACATAGGGACCCATAGAGAGACATAGGGACCCATAGAGATACATAGGGACCCATAGGGACCCATAGGGATACATAGGGACACATAGGGACCCATAGGGATACATAGGGAACCATAGGGACACATAGGGACCCATAGGAACCCATAGGGACACATAGGGACACATAGAGAGACAGAGGGACCCATAGGGACCCATAGAGATACATAGGGACCCATAGGGACCCATAGAGAGACATAGGGACCCATAGGGATACATAGTGACCCATAGAGAGACATAGGGACCCATAGAGACCCAACAGTACCCAATGGCACCCAATGGACCCAACCCCACCCAACAGCATCCTATGGGACCCAACAGCACCAATGGCTCCCAATGGAACTCAATGGCACCCAATGGACCCAACCCCACCCAACAGCATCCAATGGAACTCAATGGCACCCAAACGCACCCAATGGCACTCAATGGCACCCAACCCCACCCAACAGCACCCAATGGAACTCAATGGCACCCAATCGCACCCAATGGCACCCAACCGCACCCAATGAACCCAACGCCACCCAACAGCACCCAATGGAACTCAATAGCACCCAACCGCACCCAATGGCACTCAATGGCACCCAACCCCACCCAACAGCACCCAATGGAGCTCAATGGCACCCAAAGGCATCCAATGTCACTCAGCGGCACCCAACCGCACCCAATGGACCCAACCCCACCCAACAGCACCCAATGGCACTCAATGGCACCTAACTGCACCCAATGGAACTCAATGGCACCCAACCGCACCCAACAGCACCCAATGGAGCTCAATGGCACCCAATCGCACCCAATGGCACTCAATGGCACCCAACTGCACCCAATGGAACTCAATGGCACCCAACCGCACCCAACAGCACCCAATGGAACTCAATGGCACCCAACCGCACCCAACCGCACCTAGTGGACCCAACCCCACCCAACAGCACCCAATGGAACTCAATGGCACCCAACTGCACCCAATGGCACCCAACCACACCCAACCGCACCCAATGGACCCAACCCCATCCAACAGCACCCAATGGCACTCAATGGCACCTAACTGCACCCAATGGAACTCAATGGCACCCAACCGCACCCAACAGCACCCAATGGAACTCAATGGCACCCAACCGCACCCAACCGCACCTAGTGGACCCAACCCCACCCAACAGCACCCAATGGAACTCAATGGCACCCAACCACACCCAACCGCACCCAATGGACCCAACCCCATCCAACAGCACCCAATGGCACTCAATGGCACCTAACTGCACCCAATGGAATTCAATGGCACTCAACCGCACCCAACAGCACCCAATGGAACTCAATGGCACCCAATCGCACCCAATGGCACTCAATGGCACCCAACCGCACCCAATGGACCCAACCCCACCCAACAGCACCCAATGGCACCTAACTGCACCCAATGGCACTCAACGGCACCCAACCGCACCCAATGGACCCAACCCCACCCAACAGCACCCAATGGCACCTAACTGCACCCAATGGCACTCAACGGCACCCAACTGCACCCAATGGAACTCAATGGCACCCAACGGCACTCAATGGCACCCATCCGCACCCAACAGCACCCAATGGAACCCTGAGGCTCCCCGGACGTCCCCCCCCCACCCGCACTCACTCTGTAGGGTGCTGAGCTGGTCCCGGGGCCCCACGGTGCCGTTGGCCATGGGGTTCGGGCTGAGGTCTCCATGGCGGGGATTGGGCTTGGGGGGGGTCCGGATCAGCTGGGGGGGGGGGGGGAGGAGGCACCCTGAGCCCCCCATGGGCACCCTCACCCCCCTTAAGGAGCCCAGACCCCCCTATAGGGCACCCAGACCCACTCCATTGACACCCTGACCCCCCCCGCCAAGACCAGTGACCCCCCCCATAGGCACCCCATTGCACCCCGAGGGCACCCTGATCCCCCCCCCAAGACCAGTGACCCCCCATAGGAGCCCCATTGCACCCCGAGGGCACCCTGACCCCCCCCTTAAGGAGCCCAGACCCCCCTATAGGGCACCCTGACCCCCCCCGCCAAGACCAGTGACCCCCCATAGGAGCCCCATTGCACCCCGAGGGCACCGGGACCCCTCTCCACAAGACCAGTGACCCCCCCATAGGCGCCCCATTGCACCCCGAGGACACCCTGACCCCCCCTTAAGGAGCCCAGACCCCCCTATAGGGCACCCTGACCCCCCCCCCAAGACCAGTGACCCCCCATAGGTGCCCCATTGCACCCCAAAGGCGCCCTGTCCCCCCCCCAAGACCAGTGACCCCCCCCATAGGTGCCCCATTGCACCCCAAAGGCACCCTGACCCCCCCTCAAGGAGCCCAGACCCCCCTATAGGGCACCCTGACCCCCCCCCAAGACCAGTGACCCCCCCCATAGGCGCCCCATTGCACCCCGAGGGCACCCTGATCCCCCCCCCCCAAGACCAGTGACCCCCCCCATAGGCGCCCCATTGCACACCGAGGGCACCCTGACCCCCCCTTAAGGAGCCCAGACCTCCCTATAGGGCACCCTGACCCCCCCCGCCAAGACCAGTGACCCCCCCCCATAGGCGCCCCATTGCACCCCGAGGACACCCTGACCCCCCCCAAGAGCAGTGACCCCCCCATAGGCGCCCCATTGCACCCCGAGGACACCCTGACCCCCCCTTAAGGAGCCCAGACCCCCCTATAGGGCACCCTGACCCCCCCTCCAAGACCAGTGACCCCCCATAGGTGCCCCATTGCACCCCGAGGGCACCCTGACCCCCCCCAAGACCAGTGACCCCCCCCATAGGTGCCCCATTGCACCCCGAGGGCACCGTGACCCCCCCCAAGACCAGTGACCCCCCCATAGGCGTCCCATTGCACCCCGAGGACACCCTGACCCCCCCTTAAGGAGCCCAGACCTCCCTATAGGGCACCCTGACCCCCCCCATAGGCGCCCCATTGCACCCCAAGGGCACCCTGACCCCCAGGACCCCCCCCAGCGCCCCTCACCGTGGCCCAGGGCAGCGCCTTGGGGTGTCCATCACCGCTCCCATTGGAGGTCCCATGGGGCCGGGGGGGGCCGGGGGGAGCCGTGGGGGGAGTTGTGGGGCGCAGGCAGCGACCGCGCAGCACCAGGGCCCCCAGAGCCGCCAGCACCCGGGCGGGACCCACACGTGGGGACACCGCGGCCCCCGCGGCCAACACGGCCCCGGCGTCCAGGCAGCCCTGGGGACAGCGGTGACGTCAGTCGGTGACGTCATCGACAGCAGGGACGTCATCGACAGCAGCGACGTCATTGACATCAGTGACGTCATCGATATCACTGACGTCATCGACATCAGTGACATCATTGACGTCATTGACACCGTTGAAACTATCAACACACTTGACATCAGCGATGTCATCAACATCAGTGACGTCATCGACATGACATCAGTGACATCAGTGACATCATCGATGTCAGTGACATCATTGACATTAGTGATGTCATCATCACCAGTGACACCATTGATGTCATTGACACTGTTGAAACTATCAACACACTTGACATCAGTGATGTCATCAACATCAGTGACGTCATCGACATGACATCATTGACATCAGTGACATCATCGATGTCAGTGACACCATTGACATCAGTGATGTCATCGTCATTAGTGACATCATTGACGTCACTGTCACTGTTGAAACTATCAACACACTTGACATCAGTGATGTCATCAACATCAGTGACGTCATCGACATCAGTGACATCATTGACGTCAGTGATGTCATCGATATCAGTGACATCATTGACATTAGTGATGTCATCGTCACCAGTGACATCGACGTCACTGACACCATTGAAACTATCAACACACTTGACATCAGTGACGTCATAGACATTGGTGACGTCATAGACATCAGTGACATCATCGACGTCATCGATATCACTGACATCATTGACATTAGTGATGTCATCGTCACCAGTGACATCATCGACGTCACTGACACTGTTGAAACTATCAACACACTTGACATCAGTGACGTCATAGACATCGGTGACGTCATCATCATCAGTGACACACCTGACACTATCAACACACTTGACATCAGTGACGTCATCAACATCAGTGACGTCATCGACATAAGTGACATCATTGACGTCAGTGATGTCATCGATATCAGTGACATCATTGCCATCAGTGATGTCATCGTCATTAGTGACCTCATCGACGTCACTGACACCGTTGAATCTATCAACACACTTGACATCAGTGACGTCATCGACATCAGTGATGTCATCGATATCAGTGACATCATTGACATTAGTGATGTCATCGTCACCAGTGACATCATTGATGTCACTGACACCATTGAAACTATCAACACACTTGACATCAGTGATGTCATCAACATCAGTGACGTCATCGACATGACATCATTGACATCAGTGACATCATCGACACCAATCAGTGACATCATTGACGTCAGTGACACACATCAATCCCACATCCCGCATCCCATATCCCATGTCCCACACATCCCATACCCCACGTCCCATGTCCCACATCCCATAACCCACATATCCCTTACCCCACATATCCCATATCCCACATCTCACATCCCATACCCCACACATTCCACACCCCCCATCCCACACATCCCACACATCCCCCACCCCATACCCCACATCCCGTGTCCCTCACATCCCATGTCGCACACATCCCACATCCCACACATCCCACATCCCACACACCCCACATCGCATATCCCACATCCCATATCCCACATCCCACATATCCCTTACCCATATCCCCATATCCCATATCCCATACCCTATACCCCATATCCCATGCCCCATATCCCATACCCCATATCCCATATATCCCATATCCCATGCCCCATATCCCATACCCCATATCCCATGCCCCATACCCCATATCCCATACCCCATATCCCATACCCCATATCCCATACCCCATATCCCATATTCCATACCCCATATCCGATACCCCATACCCCATATCCCATACCCCATATCCCATATTCCATACCCCACATCCCATACCCCATGCCCCATACCCCATATCCCATATCCATACCCCATACCCCATATCCCATACCCCATATCCCATACCCCATACTCCATACCCCATATCCCACACTCCATATCCCATACACCATATCCAATACCCTCCACCCCATATCCCACACTCTAAACCCCACACCCCATATCCCATACCCCATACACCCCATATCCCATACCCCATATCCCACACCCCATATCCCATACCCCATATCCCATACCCCATATCCCATGCCCCACATCCCACACCCCACATCCCACACCCCATATCCCATGCCCCACATCCCACACCCCATATCCCATACCCCATATCCCACACCCCATATCCCACACCCCATATCCCACGCCCCACATCCCACACCCCATATCCCATACCCCACATCCCACACCCCATATCCCATACCCCACATCCCACACCCCATATCCCATACCCCATATCCCCTGCCCCACATCCCACACCCCATATACCACATCCCGTTCCCCATATCCCACACCCCACATCCCACACCCCACATCCCACATCCCATTCCCCACATCCCACACCCCACATCCCACACCCCATATCCCACACCCCATATCCCACACCCCATATCCCACACCCCATACGCCATACCCCATATCCCCCCCCATCTCACCGTCTCTCCCCTCTCCCCTCTGTATCCCCCTTCGAGGGCCTCCAGCAGCTCCTCCACCTCCCGTAGGGCGCCGCTGTCCTTGGTGCTGAACCGGCCTCCGCTCACCGTGAACGCGCGATGGAGGGCACGGGCACGAGCGACCCAAGGGTAGACGGTACCGGTGCTACCGGTATCGGTGCTACCGGTGGTATCGATGTCATCGGTATCGGTGCTACCGGTGGTATCGGTGCTACTGGTATCGGTGCTACCGGTGGTATTGATGTTACCGGCATTGGTGCTACCGGTATCGGTGCTACCGGTGGTATCGATGTCACCGGTATCGGTGCTACCGGTATCGGTGCTACCGGTGGCATCGATGTTACCAGTATCGGTGCAACCAGTGGTATCGATGTCACCGGTATCGGTGATATCGGTATTGGTGCTACGGGTACCGATGTTCCCGGTGGCATCGTTGCTACCGGTACCAATGCTCCCGGTGGTATTGGTGTTACCAGTACCGATGCTCCCAGTGGTATCGTTGCTACCGGTACCGATGCTCCCGGTGGTATCGGTGTTACCGGTACCGATGCTCCTGGTGGTATCGTTGTTACCGGTACCGATGCTCCCGGTGGTATCGGTGTTACCGGTACCGATGCTCCCGGTGGTATCGGTGTTACCGGTACCGATGCTCCTGGTGGTATCGTTGTTACCGGTACCGATGCTCCCGGTGGTATCGGTGTTACCGGTAACCTTGCAAGCTCCCATTGGGTCCCAAAGGGTCCCCAAGACGGCGGCTCCGAGCCAAGGGAGATCCGGGGCTTTCAACCCACCGGTGGTACCGGCAAGGGCCAGGATGTCGTCAGCAGAGAGGCACTGGGGGGGTCAATGGGGGGGGGGTGACGAAGGGGGGGGTTAATGGGGGGGACACGGGGGGGTCCATGGGGGGACATGGGGGGGTCAATGGGGAGGGACACGGGGGGTCAATGGGATCAATGAGGAGGGACGCTGGGGGTCAATGGGGGGACACGGGGGGTCAACAGGGTCAATGGGGGGACATGGGGGTCAATGGGATCAATGGGGGGACACTGGGGGGGTCAATGGGGGGACATGGGGTGTCAATGGGGGAAACGGGGGTCAACGGGGTCAATGGGGGGGACATGGGGGTCAATGGGAGGGTCATGGGGGTCAATGGGGAGGGACACGGGGGGTCAATGGGATCAATGGGGGGACACTGGGGGGTCAATGGGGGGACATGGGGTGTCAATGGGGGAAACGGGGGGTCAATGGGGTCAATGGGGAGACATGGGGGTCAATGGGAGGGTCACGGGGGTCAATGGGGAGGGACACGGGGGGTCAATGGGATCAATGGGGGGACACTGGGGTGTCAATGGGGGGACCCGGGGTGTCAATGGGGGGACACAGGGGGGTCAACGGGGTCATTGGGGGGACATGGGGGTCAATGGGAGGGTCATGGGTGTCGGGGGGTCAATGGGATCAATGGGGGGACACTGGGGGGTCCATGGGGGGACATGGGGTGTCAATGCGGGGACACGGGGGGGTCAACGGGGTCAATGGAGGGACATGGGGGTCAATGGGAGGGTCATGGGGGTCAATGGGGAGGGACGGGGGGTCAATGGGATCAATGAGGAGGGACACTGGGGGGTCAATGGGGGGACATGGGGTGTTAATGGGGGGACACGGGGGTGTCAACGGGGTCATTGGGGGGACATGGGGGTCAATGGGAGGGTCACGAGGGTCAATGGGGAGGGACACGGGGGGTCAATGGGATCATGGGGGGGACACTGGGGGGGTCAAGGGGGGGACATGGGGTGTCAATGGGGGGACACGGGGGGTCAACGGGGTCAATGGGGGGACATGGGGGTCAATGGGAGGGTCATGGGGGTCAATGGGGAGGGACAGGGGGGGTCAATGGGATCAATGGGGGGACATGGGGTGCCAATGGGGGGACACGGGGGGTCAACGGGGTCAATGGGGGGACATGGGGGTCAATGGGAGGGTCATGGGGGTCAACGGGGAGGGACACGGGGGGTCAATGGGATCATGGGGGGGACACTGGGGGGTCAATGGGGGGACATGGGATGTCAATGGGGGGACACAGGGGGTCAACGGGGTCAATGGGGGGACATGGGGGTCAATGGGAGGGTCATGGGGGTCAATGGGGAGGGACAGGGGGGTCAATGGGATCAATGAGGAGGGACACGGGGGGTCAATGGGGGGACATGGGGTGTCAATGGGGGGACATGGGGGGTCAATGGGGTCAATGGCGGGGACATGGGGGTCAATGGGAGGGTCATGGGGGTCAATGGGGGGGACATGGGGGGTCAATGGGATCAATGAGGAGGGACACGGGGGGTCAATGGGTCAA